CACCGTCACAACCCTAATAGCTTGGCAATGTTTCTGAGATGGAAGAATGCTGTTTTTGTAACATGGGAAATATGATTTTCAAAAGATAAGTTGCTGTCTAATATAACACCCAGATTTTTGACTGTAGAGGAAGTAACTGTTTTTTTAGTAGTGCTGAGTGATATGTGCTGATTATCATATATCGACAATAATACCCAATGTTAACTGCAAAGTCAGCTAACAAACGATTATTGATAATATTGAGGGAAAAAATGACAAATGAAAAAATAACATGAATGCTGATGGCAAACCGTGTCACTCTGTTTATGTGCGACTATGCTGTGGTAAGACGTACATTTCTTGTCCAACATCATTTTTGTAATTTTCTCCAATTATTTGTAAGTTAACATTGCAAGTTAAAAGTTTTGGCTATACATTTTGTTCTGCAGACAAAACAAAAAAAATTTAACTGCATTCTTTATAAATTCAAAATAGGCAGTGAAATCTCTCATTTTAAAAAGTCTAAGTATTCTTTTATTTCGATCTGCGGCTTTAATCCCTGATTTTTTACATACATGACCACTAACAAATACATTATAGCTTGACTGCAGGTCAATTTTATTTTAATTATGCAAATTAAATCCGTTGAGAACTCATTCGATAAAATAAACGAGAAGGAGAAGACACATGCCTATGTGCATTCATTATGCATTTACCATTCTTACGCACCATAAGAATGCGGTTCTCCTCACAAAATGAAATTCATTTCAAACACAAATAGTAATGTGCATGTGCAACACACAGCTGTCAATCTCGCCGGTTTATCCATCTATGAATTCCTGGGAATCATCCCAAACAGACTACATTTTTTGGAATAACCATCACGTCATTTGTCCGTACTATAACAGAGTCTTTTATCTAGAAGAATGCTGTGTTAATTTTCTTGGCAATCTCCACGAGACAGCTGACGGCAGATCTGCAGTGTCACAAGCACAGTAGGCGTATGGAAAATATGGTCATGACGGTCATCCGCAACGCTCGTCGGATGGCCGAATACACAACTCCGTGTCAGTTCACTAATGCAATTACACAATACCCCTGAAGGGCACAAGGGGCCAGGGGCAATTTAATTTCTTCATGGGAAAAACGATAGGCCATTAAAATGCTTCTTTCATTTGTGGTAAAAATCCAGCTCTGTAAGGCCCGAGTTCCAAAATGCCCACATGTGCATTAATTTGCCACCTACACCAGACAGTCCGGCCCCACTCTTACAAGACCCTTTACTGTACCAGACAACGGATGACTCAAATCAAAAGCCCTCTGTTTCTGAAACTGTTTCTGGTTTCATTCTTTCATGACAAAAATATTAAAAAACAAGGTTCTCACGAGAAAAAGAAGTGAAGAATCTGTTTCACATGCCATGCAAACATGTAAAACATGAATGTAATATGAACTAGCCTATTTCATATTTTCTGATTGCAGCTGTTGTGATTATGCCCTTAATAACTTATTAAACAAGAAGAGGGTGTTCAAGAGGGCGTAAAAACACTGCAACCTAAGGCACATTTAGATTAAAATTAGGACGGAGGAGCGAACCAATTCATCCCATTCCCCTCCCTCTTAAATGACAAAATGATCCCATGGGATTACGACTATATTGCACTGTATATCTCTTTCATTTATGTGGGACTAATTAACAAGGAGCATTAGTTCCAGCAAAGAAGCAATTACTGAGAACACATCTTAAACAAGGTAATTTACTAGGTTATCAATGCAAATAGCACAGTATCTGTCACTAGGATGCTTGTAAAAAAAAAATGAATAGGAAAGGGTTCTTGAAATATTCAAGCAGTTCCCTGTGTGGTAAAAGTTATAATCGTATGATGTCGAGGAGGATAATATATCAGTCATATCAGATCTTGATATACAAGACCTTGGTCTTGTAGGGTTGCATAATATTGACAAGAAAAACAACCACTCACTGCTCTAAATTTCTGAGTATATATATATATATATATATATATATATATATTATTTCTAAAGTCTCTTATGGTCACCAAGGCTGCATTTATTCAATCAATACATAGTAAAAACAGTAATATTGTGAAATATTATTACAATTATATATAATTTCTATTTTAATATATTTTAAAAATGCTAATTATTTCTGTGATGCAAAACTGACTTTTCAGAAGCAACTACCCCTGTCTTCAGTGTGACATGATCCTTCAGAAATAATTCTAAAATGCTGATTTGCTGCTCGAGAAACATTTCTTCTTATTAGCTATTGAAAACAGTTGTTTAATATTTATGTGAGGCAAAGGATTCTTTGATAAATAGAAACTATAAAAGAACAGCATTAGCCTGTTTAAAATTGACTTTTTTTTGGTAACAATATAAAAATATTTGCTGTCACTTTTCAACACCATAACACATCCTTGCTGAATAGGAGCATAGATGTCTTTTTAAAAATCTTGCTGGCCTCAAACTCTTAAATAGTAATGTATTATTAATTATAATTACTTAATTTGACAGCTACAACCACTGTTTTAATTTGTTACTATTTATACTAATACGACAGCTTTTTCAATTCTTTAGCATTTTAGTAGCTGATGTCTGCAAACTGGCATCAATAATCATGAAATTTCACTGCTACTGTTATTGACAATGTAATTATATCATTTGTATAAGGTTTTTTTATTATTATTTGACATATGATTTCACTTGAAACATGCAGAGATTTCAGATTAAAATAGCATGCTTCTATATCTATATACATCTCCATTTAGGAGCATTAATTGAAAGAAGAAGGTCTAAGCATTTAACTCCAATGCAACAATCCCATGCATCAGTCTCCCACCAAACCCCACTACTGTTTACAAGAGACACACTGCTGTCATGACACTCAGAGCAGCATGTTCAGCAGGAAGCAGGAAGAGTTCACACTCCTCTCAGAGCTCAGATCAGGAGTGTGAACTCTTCTCTGCTCACTGATGAACAAGCTGCTCTCTCACCAAATGCTGAGAGGCTGGCTGGGACACTAGAGCTGTTAACATCATTTATGACTCATGCACATGTTTGCATAGGACAAGCAATAAACATCAATGAGTCTTTCAAGTGCCAGATTTTATTAGCTGAAAAAGATAAATGAGAAAGATGTGGTCTGGATTGAAACAAAACCATGTTTTTGTTTCAGCTCCAGGGTTTTACTCAAATGTCACACTTTTCCACTAAAGGAAATTAAACAGAAATCAAATCAAAAGATCGTTTTATATAATTTGGTGGTTTAAGACTAAACAAGAGTTGTTAATGAACACGACTTTGGGGGTTTTTAAACTCAGCCTAACAGCATCCTGTTACTAATACCGCGGATCTTTATATTATGACTGATATTTCCACCAAACTGCAGTTTTGTAATAGTCTCTACCTTCAGTTCAGCTTTCATACATGTTGCCCAAAGACAATTTCTCCAGTTTTTCTGATTGGTTAAACGCAATGTTGTCTCATGTTAGCCCACAAAACTCCATGAAAAGTCACATAGTGCCCTGTGCATTAAGACTTTAGTTTCATATGGCCTGCTCAACTCATCTACCTTACCAACGGTGTCCAAAAACGCTGTCTAGGTCGACAGCTCACTAGATTTTGTAACACAGCCACTGACTGCAGTCGTCTTCACTTCAAATGCAGGTCAACATAACATAACTTGACTACTAACTGATAATAATATCCTGCGAAGGAAAGTACATCTGATAGGACAACCGACGAGCGTTAAAAGTGAGAGCTGGCTCTCTCGGTCTTACACAAGGCGTTGGGTATTTGAGGTTAGTCGAACAGAATTCGGCCCTTCTTACCTTTTTTTAGAGCAGCTGCGCTTTTCCTCGTCAGTTAACGCTAGCCTGCTCGCGCTAGCGCTGAAATCCCAATGGCTCTTCTCTCCAAAAGATGACGAGAACGACTCCGGCTTTACAAAAACAACGTTTCACATCCGTTGACCTCTAACGTTCGATCTTATAGCTAATCTTCTCGGTCTTTTTTCGCAAAACACCTAAAAACTCGACGAATGACAACGTGCCCACCTCTCTGTCCATCAGATTGGAGCAGCGCTGGCTAACGGCTTTGGCAATCCGCTCTTCTGATAGGGGAGTCGCGGTGTCAAGATTGCGGAGCTAAGCCCCGCCCTGCGCTCGCAGCTATGAATGCACTTTATTCACACGCTCAACAAACGGACCATTCTATTGGCTGATTGAGCTATCAATCAACACACACTGCTACTGGATTGGCTGAAAGGAGATTCCTCGATAATTCCTTCGGTTTGTCAAAATACACTGCGTAAGTAAAAATCAATACTTTTAGATCAGTTATTTATGAGGATTAGTTTTTCTTTGCGAGGTCGATCGATAGATGAGGCAATTAAATGGCTATTGACATAACACTAAAAGTGATTAATACTCATATTGACACAAGTTATGATTTCTCTAAACTTCTCTAAATCGTTTCACAAACATCTGATCAGTTCTTATCTAATCTAGTTGCTTTCTCAGTTCAGACAACCATTTTATATTTGTTTTTACATTTCATGCTTAATAATAATAATGATAATAATTGCTGTAAATGGGCGAATGCGTCAAGTATCATATACATGCACATGTATATGTTCATGTTTGTCAGAACGCTTTAAATTTTAGACTTTATTTTTCTTTGTCTTTTTTATTTATACGAATATTCAAATGTATGAAGTTGAACTGATGTTTATTACATATTAGATATGTATGCGCTATGAAATCATATGTTTAAATCTTATTAAAACTTCACATATACAGTCATATTAAGGCAGAGAAACAGATTTTTTGATATTTAGGTTATAAAATGTTTCATTTATTTTTAAAAAATGTGTTCGGAAATTACAATTAGTTATATTTTGTTTTGTTCTTTTTTCCGTGTTGAATTTACAATAAGGCATTATTATATGTATATATATTCTTATAAGACATATTTCCACATATTTTTGAGTTGTTGTGAGACATTTCATTGGTGCTTCCGGCTTAACTCCTGCACTTCCGGGTTAGTGTTGTTTGTTGTTAAGAGTTAGAGGTCAAGTAATAAAGTGTCTCTGGACTTGTTGACTCGTAATCCCATGGCTACTGCAAAAACATTATTGTTTGTATAATCGTGCTGTGCTTCTGGGATCAGTCATGTCGCAAGCTTCGTCTGGATTCACTCCGGCTGCTCAAGTCCCACATGGGTCTAGTAAGGTAGGCAGTAAATTCACCTGACAATGTTTATAAACCACATATTCTGTCCCTTACTGCTCTATCTCATGCAGAAGTACTTGAAAAGCAAAGTGTGTGTGCGGTTTTCTGTTTACAGGACAAATAGATCTCTGATAGGGGACTTCCAGAAAGTGTCCTCACGCTCAGTTCTGTCTTCACAGGGTTCTTTTAGTAATGCCTCGTATATTCCCAATGAAGAAGAGAGGCGTGTCTTCAGAGAGTGCAATTCCGAAAGCTTCTGGTACAGATGTGAGCAGTGCTCTACTTTAGTGATGAAAGCTGTCATGATTTTTAATAGCACTTGACTGTCATGCTGGCCAACATCTTTTTTGCGTTCCTTTTATTAATTTTGTTCGTTTTATTCCTCCCCAAAATTACTTTGCAAGGTATAGTCTCAAGATGCTTCTGATGAGAAAGAACTTGTGAACGTTTGCTCTCTTGTTATTTGCAGCCTTGCCATTTTCTGCCATTGCAACTGCAGCCACTCAGGTAATGGTATCAAGAGGTACGTTCACATCGAGTTTGTACTCATGTCTCCCATCGTCATGGAAAACCTAGATTTATCAGGGAATTTAAAAAATGGGAAAAGTCATTAAAAAGAATCAAATCTTAAGTAATGAAACTTATAATAGTAGGCTAATTATAACCCCCCAAGATACTCAGAGCTCTGGAAAGTAAAAGATTTAAGAAAGCATTACCCAGTAATCACAAATGACTACAAGAGTTTTAGAGAAGTCATGAAGAAGAGATAGTTCAACCCGAAATGAAAATTGTCATTCATTTTTTTCATTTTTGTTGTTCCAAACCCATACGACTTTCATTCATCTCTGAATCACAAGGGAAGATATTTTTAATGAAACCTGTGAGATTGACATTCCTCCATTAAAAGTCCATTCCACCAAAATTTGAATGCTTCAGAATTTCCTTAAAGAGATTGTAAAAGAAATCTGTATGAATAGAGTGGTTTAATCCAAGTATTCGAAGTAGACACAATCATTTTGTATGATGATTATGAACCGATTTCATTTAGACTTTTGTTCACATAGAAACATCTAACAGTGCACATATACAGAGCACGTCAAATATGGTAAACCGAAACTCAACTGTTCATGCTCTTCATTTGTATTCTGAATATGAGCAAGTTTTATGGGTTTGGATTTTGGCGGTAAAACAGTTTAAACAAAAGGGAGAACAAATTCATTTTTCAAAAATGTAAAATCTTATACTGTTATTGTTTATCTGTAGGAATCTTTACTCCATCACCCAGATTCGGCTCTCTTCCCAAGGTTGCATGTAAGTATCAAGAACAATAGACAGCACAAATTTGATAAAACACAGCTAAAACCAAGGATATATGATAAGGGATATTCAAAGGCTACATTTTCTTAAGTACTTTGAGTATTTGTGATTTTTATGCAGTTGCTGGCATGTTTGGATACATTACTGGGAAAATGTCTTACATGAGGGTCTGTGAAGAAAAGTTTAGAAAACTGGAGAACTCCCCACTGGGAGAGGCACTACGACAGGGACGTCTGCATCACATGCCTTCAGAGTAAGAACAATTTTAAGTAAGAATTTAAAAAATATATTAAAATTTTGGTTTTTATAGGTAGAAATATAAAATTGCTCATATCTGTATGTATATGTATGTGTGTTTTGTTTCATTTCACATATATATATATACACACACACATTAATATATTATCGGCCGATACCGATATGGTGGCCGATATATCGTGCATCCCTAGTGTTTTGTTTCATTTCACATATATATATATACACACACACACATTAATATATTTGAAGTAATTCACTTTGACAATTAATTTACACATGGTGATTAATTTTTTTTTTTAGGCTAAACCAGTCAGATTTTGAGGATCCAAACCCATCAGAATCTCAACAGTCTGTTTCGGAGTCAGCGTTCCAACCTTCGACAGAAGTCAGTTCTATGCCTGAGAGCGACAGCAGTTACACCAGTGACTATCCTTACAGCAGCCCCTCCCAATCATACGACCCCACTCCTTTCAGTTCTGGATTTAGTGATTCTGGTCCTGTTAACATCAGGGATGATATTTCTCCTCAAGGTACTACCACCCCTGCACAAAACAACATGTATAATTGTATAGACGTATATAAATAAATCTTAAATTTGATTACATTTGGGTTATCTGTATGTATATGTATGTGTGTTTTGTTTCATTTCACATATATATATATACACACACACATTAATATATTTGAAGTAATTCCCTTTGACAATTAATTTACACATGGTGATTAATTTTTTTTTTTAGGCTAAACCAGTCAGATTTTGAGGATCCAAACCCATCAGAATCTCAACAGTCTGTTTCGGAGTCAGCGTTCCAACCTTCGACAGAAGTCAGTTCTATGCCTGAGAGCGACAGCAGTTACACCAGTGACTATCCTTACAGCAGCCCCTCCCAATCATACGACCCCACTCCTTTCAGTTCTGGATTTAGTGATTCTGGTCCTGTTAACATCAGGGATGATATTTCTCCTCAAGGTACTACCACCCCTGCACAAAACAACATGTATAATTGTATAGACGTATATAAATAAATCTTAAATTTGATTACATTTGGGTGAAGACATTTGTCATTGAATAAGGATTTGTCATCTGATTAGTAGATGTTTAACCAATAGTTTTAATTTGTCCCAAAGCTCCGCTCTATCCAGATGAGGATGTGCCCAAAAAGAAGCAAGTGTTGTATGAGGAACTGCGTAGCAAGAATAGAGAGAACTATGAGGTCACTCTCACACAGAAAGCTGAAACACTGATGAGACCACAAACAGTGGCACCAGTACCTAAGAAGGAAGGTGAGCTTCAGTAACTGATTTCCCTAAAAATTGAATTGGTCTATACAAGTAATGATTTGTGAGACTTGTAAAGATTCTAAAAGGCAATCAATTTGAATATTTAACCTCTAAATGTCAAGGCATCCATGAATTATTTAAAAAACAGTACTGTGTTGGGTTGCCAACTGATGTTCAATGTATCATAAAGGTCCTGAAGCAAGTCTAGTTTTGAACCACTGATGTAGATGATGGCAAATACACTAGTTGACACGCCCACTTCAACTGACATGAGTGTTGAAGCTTGATTTTAATTTTGTGTTTGTATTGGTATAGTTAATATATATTTTATCATTTCAGTGTCCTTGTATGTTTTAATCTGTTAACCAGTTTCTTTCTTCCCCCTCCAGTTAAAAAGAACAAATATGGAGATTCTTGGGAATAGTAATCAACTGTTTGAGGAGCTCAAGATCTGAACGCGGTGACTTCTGTGGAGTTGTCATGATTCCTTCTGCCAGATTAGACCAAAAGCTGCAATCAAATGCTGAATGTACTTTAAGGAGTAAAACAAAATTACTCTATTTTCTTTTGATAGCACATTTGTGGTATTCGTTTCTCATCTTGACTTCCTGCTTTAAGCAGACTTAAGATTAATTTTAATTTTAACAATCAGTGTTTTTATTGATTAGGAAATTCTGGCCAGATGTGCTTGAGACTTGCTAATAAATAAATACAATTATATAATAACAATAGACATTATATTGTTTCATATAAACCCAGAGAAGAAGATGTAATAAATAACAGCATCACGTTTGATTCTCCACTGCATGAGTGTTGAAGCTTGATTTTAATTTTGTGTTTGTATTGGTATAGTTAATCAATATTTTATCATTTCAGTGTCCTTATTTTATCCAAACAGTGTATGTTTTAATCTGTTAACCAGTTTCTTTCTTCCCCCTCCAGTTAAAAAGAACAAATATGGAGATTCTTGGGAATAGTAATCAACTGTTTGAGGAGCTCAAGATCTGAACGCGGTGACTTCTGTGGAGTTGTCATGATTCCTTCTGCCAGATTAGACCAAAAGCTGCAATCAAATGCTGAATGTACTTTAAGGAGTAAAACAAAATTACTCTATTTTCTTTTGATAGCACATTTGTGGTATGAACAAAACGTTTCTCATCTTGACTTCCTGCTTTAAGCAGACTTAAGATTAATTTTAATTTTAACAATCAGTGTTTTTATTGATTAGGAAATTCTGGCCAGATGTGCTTGAGACTTGCTAATAAATAAATACAATTATATAATAACAATAGACATTATATTGTTTCATATAAACCCAGAGAAGAAGATGTAATAAATAACAGCATCACGTTTGATTCTCCACTGGAAATTGAGTCCATCACAATGCTAAAAGCTGTGCACGAGTGACAATTACAAGAGTAGTATTATGAGAGTAGATGTGTTTTGACTTGGACCCATCATGATAATAATGACATCATTCACTGATGTTACAGTTGTTACAGTCTTCTGTGCTGGAGATAAATATATACTTGCGGTTTAATTCTTTTAATGAAAATTCACATTTAAATTAACATTTGAACATTTCAAATAAAGCCTATGACATATGTAATTCATTCACTGCACATTGATTCTTGATTGTGAAGGTAATATACACTTTATACTTGAATCATAATATTGTACTGCAGAACAAAGTCATGCAGATCTGACATGTGCGTGCGTGCGTGCGTGTCAGATCTGCATGACTTTGTTCTGCAGTACAATATTATGATTCAACTCTGATAAAAGGCAGCTGCTTACTGTCATGAAGTTAAACAGAAACCTCCATTCCCTTCTCTATATTCTAAACAAATAAAAGCTGAGCGAATATCATTGGAATATAACATTAGAAGAACTTAAAAATAACATCATACTGATTTCTATGAGGTGGATTATTTTATGCCAGATTTGACACTCTACGACAGCATACATTTCTTATTATCTTGTTCCCTCAAATCCAACTCGAACACTACATCTCTTAGTGCTAAAATGTTACTTCTATTTGACACAGCTATGTGGACAAACTAGACAACCTTTTTCACAATTATTGAAATAGACTATTTCAATTTGCGAAAAAGGTTGTCTAGTTTGTCCAGATAGCTGCAGCGTCTCAGTCATTTACTTGTTTATAAATCACTCAATGGCCTAGGACCTAAATACATAGCAGATATGTTCACTGATTATAAACCTAACAGACCACTCAGATCATTAGGATTGAGTCAGTTAGAAATACCAAGGGTTCACACAAAACAAGGGGAATGTGCTTTTAGTTATTATGCCACCCGCAGTTGGAATCAGCTTCCTGAAGAGATCAGATGTGCTAAAACATTAGCCACATTTAAATGCAGACTCAGAACTCATTTGTTTAGCTGTGCATTTATTGAATGAGCACTGTGCGATGTCCGAACTGATTGCACTATATTATATGTATAATCGTTTTCTATTCTTAACCGTTTTAAATTAATTTTAAACCTCTTAAATCAATTTTTAAATAATTTTCAAAGTTTTAAATTCCTTGTTTTATTGTTGTGATAATTTTTTTTATGCAAAGCACTTTGAATTACCATTGTGTATGAAATGTGCTGTATAAATAAACTTGCCTTGCCTTGCCATAGTGTCTTGGCGCCCCCTGCTGGTTAGTTCAAATGAAGGTCCATTCAAGATGATTTTAGCTGCTTTGTTATGCATTATTTTCAAAAGAACTAAAGATTTCTGTTTTAATTAGTTAATTTTTTTTAATTGAAAAAAATGACGAGGTAATGAGTGATGTCCTGTGGATCTCAGAGAACCTGCAAAAGAAAAACGAATAGATTTAACTTGAGCATTGATTACATTTGTGTTTCCTTTGAACGACACCAGGTAAGGGGTGTTTTGGTGGGCATGTGTTTTTAGAATGTAAATGAATAGTAGCTCGTGGGTGTGGTTTAGTGTGCAGGTGTTGAGTGAGGTGGAGTTTTGTGTTTAGGTATATGGGAGACGGGTGTGTTGTGTTTCTTCACCTCAGTTCTGAGTGGGTGGATCAGGCGCTATTGCTGCGGCTTGTGCTTCTTCTTGTTTGCACTTTTCACACACATGGATGCAGTGTCTGTATAAAGGAAACCATGAACAGATATTCTTCCCGTCATTCTGGTACAGGTTGATCTTAATTTCAGCCGTCAAAAGAATGCTTTTGCAGAAGTGGTCTGGCTTTTTTAGATGTTTTTGGCAACGTCTAATCTGGCCTTGTTTGCACCTTGTGGTGAACCCTCTGTATTTGCTCTCGTGAAGTCTTCTCTTGATTGTAGACTTTGACAGTGACCCGTCTACTTCCTGAAGAGTGTTCTTTTCTTGGCTGGACGTTGTGAAAGGGTTTTTCTTTACCATGGAGAGGATTCTCAGATAATCCACCACTGTTGTCCTCTGTGGACGTCCAGGCCTTTTTATGTTGCTGAGCTCACCAGTGCGTTCTTTTTTTCTCAGAATGTACCAAACTGTTGATTTGGCCACTCTTAATGTTCATGTTATCTCTCTGATGGATTTGTTTAGTTTTTGAAGCCTAACAGTTGTCTGTTTCACTTGTATGGAGAAATCCTTTGACTGCATGATGTGGATTCACAGCAACAGCTTCCAAATGCAAATGACACACTTAGAATCAACTCCAGACCTTGTACCTGCCTAATTGATGTAGAAATAATGAAGGAATAGCCCACGCCTGTCCATGAAACAGCTTTTGAGTCAACTGTCCCTTGTAAAAGGGGGGAGGTACATATTAAAGAGCTGTAATTCTCTAACCTTTCCTCCCATTTTGATGAGAATACCCTCAAAGTAAAGCTCAGAGTGTGCACTTTAAGCCCATATTCATTATATAACTTGAATATGTTTTGGTCAGCAGCTAAAATAATACAAATTGTACCTGTGTCCAAATATATATGGACTTAACTGTATATATTATTTCGTTTCATTTAAACAAAACGGCCCAAACTGCTCCTGAAATCACGGCTCAAAGCCAACAGCTTTGTGTAATGAATCTTGATTACATTATTTGTAGACTGAATCTTACCGCTATATATGAGGCCACCAGTCACAGCCATGCTGCTGGCAGACAGTGGAAGAGCTGTTGAGACATGAACAGGTCAGAGGTTAAAAAGCAACACATTATTACTCCAAATCTAGATTCATTCATTCATATAAACATTCAACATCTAAATACCAAATGGTTCCTTTGGTAAAATCAGATCCAGAAGTCACACTCAATGTAACTACGTAAATTCTCAATCAGAGATGCAAGACAAGAAGCAATCTGAGGACACTTCAGTGTTTCAAATATGACTTACGAGGCTCTAGAAATGATTCAGAGGTAGAAATTATCCGTGCTATACACCAGAGGGGCTGGTCAGATAAAATGTTGCTTGTATAAGTGCATTGATGATGGATATTTTACATCTTCATTTTACCACCCAATTCTGAATATTTGGTTACAATGGACAACTGGGCAACGTCTAATCTGGCCTTGTTTGCACCTTGTGGTGAACCCTCTGTATTTGCTCTCGTGAAGTCTTCTCTTGATTGTAGACTTTGACAGTGACCCGTCTACTTCCTGAAGAGTGTTCTTTTCTTGGCTGGACGTTGTGAAAGGGTTTTTCTTTACCATGGAGAGGATTCTCAGATAATCCACCACTGTTGTCCTCTGTGGACGTCCAGGCCTTTTTATGTTGCTGAGCTCACCAGTGCGTTCTTTTTTTCTCAGAATGTACCAAACTGTTGATTTGGCCACTCTTAATGTTCATGTTATCTCTCTGATGGATTTGTTTAGTTTTTGAAGCCTAACAGTTGTCTGTTTCACTTGTATGGAGAAATCCTTTGACTGCATGATGTGGATTCACAGCAACAGCTTCCAAATGCAAATGACACACTTAGAATCAACCGTCTACTTCCTGAAGAGTGTTCTTTTCTTGGCTGGACGTTGTGAAAGGGTTTTTCTTTACCATGGAGAGGATTCTCAGATAATCCACCACTGTTGTCCTCTGTGGACGTCCAGGCCTTTTTATGTTGCTGAGCTCACCAGTGCGTTCTTTTTTTCTCAGAATGTACCAAACTGTTGATTTGGCCACTCTTAATGTTCATGTTATCTCTCTGATGGATTTGTTTAGTTTTTGAAGCCTAACAGTTGTCTGTTTCACTTGTATGGAGAAATCCTTTGACTGCATGATGTGGATTCACAGCAACAGCTTCCAAATGCAAATGACACACTTAGAATCAACTCCAGACCTTGTACCTGCCTAATTGATGTAGAAATAATGAAGGAATAGCCCACGCCTGTCCATGAAACAGCTTTTGAGTCAACTGTCCCTTGTAAAAGGGGGGAGGTACATATTAAAGAGCTGTAATTCTCTAACCTTTCCTCCCATTTTGATGAGAATACCCTCAAAGTAAAGCTCAGAGTGTGCACTTTAAGCCCATATTCATTATATAACTTGAATATGTTTTGGTCAGCAGCTAAAATAATACAAATTGTACCTGTGTCCAAATATATATGGACTTAACTGTATATATTATTTCGTTTCATTTAAACAAAACGGCCCAAACTGCTCCTGAAATCACGGCTCAAAGCCAACAGCTTTGTGTAATGAATCTTGATTACATTATTTGTAGACTGAATCTTACCGCTATATATGAGGCCACCAGTCACAGCCATGCTGCTGGCAGACAGTGGAAGAGCTGTTGAGACATGAACAGGTCAGAGGTTAAAAAGCAACACATTATTACTCCAAATCTAGATTCATTCATTCATATAAACATTCAACATCTAAATACCAAATGGTTCCTTTGGTAAAATCAGATCCAGAAGTCACACTCAATGTAACTACGTAAATTCTCAATCAGAGATGCAAGACAAGAAGCAATCTGAGGACACTTCAGTGTTTCAAATATGACTTACGAGGCTCTAGAAATGATTCAGAGGTAGAAATTATCCGTGCTATACACCAGAGGGGCTGGTCAGATAAAATGTTGCTTGTATAAGTGCATTGATGATGGATATTTTACATCTTCATTTTACCACCCAATTCTGAATATTTGGTTACAATGGACAACTGGGTCGCAGATCACAGTCAGCTGGAAGACTTAACATGAGGCTCATGTTTCCCCCAACACAAACAGTGCTAGGGTAAAACCAAATTCCAGCCATGCATGTCAAAACATAAGCACTTGATAATAAAGGCACCACTGCTTTGCTCCATTAGCCCTTTTTTGGACAAATGTTCTTAAAAAAAAAAAAAACATGTACACACCTGTCAAGTCCTTTTTACAAAAGCAAACAACCTGTGAAGATGATTCAGAGGGGAACCACTCAATGTTTTGTCCAAAATACACATTTTTAAAGTATAACCCAACCCATCTACTACACTACTACAATAAAAAACTAAACTGATATACAAAACAGTTTCACTCAGAAATTGCTAGTATTTCACATATAATTACAAATAATTAATTGTCTTTTCCCATCAATGAAGAATGTAAAATAAAACGTAAAAAGAAGACTCTTGTGAGTGCGGTTCATGATCTCCTATACAAATAATTACAAAGAAACCGCAGATAATACACTTAATTAAACATTCAATTTTGAAGTAAAAATACTGAAATTGTATTTTCTTGTGAAACTTACTTTTTGTAATACAAATGCAACCGAACTGCCCTTACAAGAAAGAAGTTTATTCAAGTGTGCTATTAGTATACTTCTTTTAAACAAAAAAATAGGAAAGTATACTTTCAGTCTACTTTTTATGTACTTCTCAGAAATATACTTAAAATGACATTTAAGTATACCTGACTTATACTAAGAAAAAGTCTAAATATGTTTGAGCTATACTTGTGGAATTCGGGAATCCATGTTTTCATTGTTATACGGTAGGGGCGCTATTACACACCTTCTGTACAAAATTTCCAAAACACAAGCGAAGAAGAAACCAAAACAACAGATGCTTCATCTAACATGATCAGACAGACATAAAACAGCATCAAAACTGTGTAACATTATGGAATAAAATGTCGACCCATGAAGAGGTAATGACTGTCAAGCTTTGGGATGTTGAACGACTCCATCTATGTTTTGATTATCAAAATTTTGTCTTTTTTTCAGCTTTTTGTTAAAAATGTTTATTAATTTTTTATTTATGAAACTTACCCACATTCAAGTGTTTATAAAAAAGAATGCATGAAGCTACAATAAAGTGTTTTTGTTTACAAGCAGATACCCTGTTCTTTCTTTTGATGTTTTGTATCAAACTCCAACACAACTCCAACCTCCTTATTAAGTTTGCGGATGACACGACTGTAGTGGGTCTCATTAGCAACAGAGATGAGACAATATGTTCAGATATTCAATAACCAAATATATACAAATTAATACCTAAATAGGGACATAGTAGTATACTTAAAGTATGATGTAAAGTTCACTTAAAGAAAACTTACAAGTATACTTGCAGTATAAAACTACTAAACTAGTAGTTTACTGAGACTATACTTCAGAGTGTCCTAAAAATTCTACAAGTATTTATTTAGTAAACTATCATATATTAAAATTATACTTTTATATACTAGAAAGTGGGCCAATTTAGTCCCAATGAGTATTGAAATAGTACACTTACAAGTATACTACTAGTACACTGATATTTGTATACTTACTACATAAAGTATACTTAAAACTTACTTGAACTATACTTAAGTATACTTAATAAAATAAACTTGAAGTATACTTATTTTTGGTAAGGGTGAACAAAAACATCATATCTGGTCTATCTCTATTAAAGGGATAGTTCACCCAAAAATTTAAAATATTTATTCAGTGGAACAAAAGAAATCTGCATGCTTATATGAAAGTCAACCAAAAGAGTTTGGCTACCAAAATTCTTCAAAATATCTTCTTTAGTGTTTAGTAGAAGAAAGTAAGTCATACAGGTTTGGAATGACATGAGGGTGAGTAAATGATTTTCGGGTCAACTTTCAGTTTAAGGATAGTAAATGAGTACAAATGTGTCTTTGTTTCTTTACCTCGATACCAGAAGCTCTCGTACTGACACTCCTTCCCTATCTGCTTTATATCTTCCCTAGGAAAGCGTGGATCAGCTATGGGGCACTGGAACTGCTGTAACAGCAAAAAGGTCATAGAAAATTACTGTAAATCCTTTCTTAATGGAGATGCTTATATGGGTTACAGGAAGCCCCATTCATCAAGCTATTTCCCTATGTTAAACAATCATCACGTGGTACTTTGAAACCTGGTGGCTGGTTTCAAAGGATCTTCTGTACTTTCGACCACATTAGCACACAAAATCTACAAAACTTAGTTTACAGCTTTATGGCTCTGTGTAAACTTAAGTGACCATAGAGCAAATGCAGGCCTGATATCACAGGAAGTGAGGTGAACATCTGGTTACTATCAGTCTACGTGCTATATACCACGTGAACATTGGTCTGAACAAACAAATGCTAAATGTGACACAACGAATACTGCTCTCCATGAAGGCCCACATTAATGTTAAAGATCTTTTTATTCATTATTATAAGCAGCTACATGAATACCTATAGCTGCAGTCTTTCTGAAAGATAAACAAACTTTTCAAAACTCTCTTACCTTCCACCCAGACTGGCCAGGTTTTGCGTCCACCACTCCTTCTCCACCCATACTCTGATTTCCTTCTGTACTTTTTCATTCATGCGCTCCTCTCTTTTCTATTTGTCTGCTATGCTTCTTCTTCTTCTACTACTACAAAGTCACTCTTTTTGCTGTTTTCTTTTGACCTCATAGAGCTCCTCCTCTCCTTCAACAACTGTGTAATGCACCTCCCATTGGGTATATAGTTGTAACACACGTGGTTTGAATATTTCCACACATGCTAGCATAACAAAATGTATGGTATTTACTAGTTACCATTTCAACACTATATAGAGAAAAAAGTGCGCCAAAATTAAAAAATATTTTGAAGATATCACTGAACATTTATTTTTCCATAGTAAAAGTAAATTTCTGGCTTAAGTAAATTCTTCATCTCAGTTTTTAGTATTCATTTAAAATTAGGCAAATCTGCTATTATTTTAATCTCCAATCTGTTATTTATGAGTTTAGATTGTTTTTTTTTAAAATCCTACGCTAACTAGCAGAAGACATGGGTGAAGAAATTATTGAAATTAATAATTTTAGCAAAGATGCTTTAAATTGATCAAAAATGATGATAAAGACATTTATAATGTTACAAAATATTTCAGATAAATGCTGTTCTTCTGAACTTTCTATTCATCAAAGAAACCTGAAAAATGTCTACTCTGCTGTTTTCAACATAATAATAATAAATGTTTTTTTGAGCAGCAAATCAGCATATTAGAATGATTTCTGAAGGATCATGTGACACTGAAGACTGGAGTAATGATGCTGAAAATTCAGCTTTGTATCACAGGAATAAATGACATTTTTAAATATATTCAGATTGAAAGCAGTTATTTTAAATAGTAAAAATATTTCACAGTATTACTGTTTTTGCTGTATTTTGGATCAAATAATTGCAGGCTTGGTGAGCAGAAGAGACTTCTTTAAAAAACATTAAAGAATTTACTGTTCAAAAACTTTGGACTGGTAGTGTATATATATATATATATATATATATATATATATATATATATTGAAGTGGTGGTGGGCCGCCTGGACCAAAAAAATGCCAGGGCTGATTTTTTGTCCCAGTCCAGCCCTGCCTGCCCCTCAGATGTTACAATGTACCCCACCTACGGGGCATGTTGTCACATTTCACTTCCAGTTTTTGAGGGTAAATAAAGAAAAATGTATACACTGTAATTATGAAACAAAGCGACGTATTTGTACTAGACAAGTGTAAAATTAATGTGGATAAAAAAAAAATTATACTCTGAACCCCATGTGGATTTACAATAACAAATGACAGTGAACCCATCTTTGTTAAAAAATAAACACTGGCAGACAATTACACTGATCCATGCCAAGTAAAGCATAACATGTCTTTTTAAAATGAAAAGTAGACATACTTTGCATTTCTTGTCTGCTTCATTCAAAATGACAGAAAAGTGAAATGACAAAAAGCGTTAGAAACCACTTGTATAGGCTAGATATGGGCTACCATAACGTCTCATGATAATGATTTCATAATCATTTCTATATTTTCAACATTCAGTACAGTACATTTATTTATGTTAACTGACAGCCTACTGCTCCTCTATGAAGCAGAACACAATACTAATAATAATAATTTCTACTCATTGTTCAAATTACTCAATTTTGTTAGTAAAATCCGACAGAATTACTCTCTGCGGTACAACGTAAGTGTAATAACTAGTGCTGCTCATGAACAAATACCGGAAACATGAATCTCAGAGACGGGGAGCTACTACAAAATGACTTCAACTTCAAATAAACTTCAAGTCAAACACATGGAGCTACGTTTACAGTAAAAAGAGTACTGTACTTTGAATTTGTATTAAAACAGCGAACCAAGTAGGACGCTCATCGTCACGTGACTCATCTGCTCGGGTTAGCGTCTACTCAGCCTATTACACTGAAACATAGATACTTGAGAAAAGAGTTGCATTAAACAGCATACAAATGTATAATACTGCAGGCAAACTAACATTATCTCAAACAAGAACGAGAACCCCAATTGCGGAGTGTCAAAACTGTTTTAAATTCATACTACGCCCCATAAAAATATTTAGCAGAAGGCAAAACATTTACTCGACCAGAAATGAAACTATCTGTCATCACAACCGAGTGAAACGCTATGAACGTCCTGCATATTCCCGGAGACACGAAGAGACAACATGAAGATACTGTGTCGCTTGTCGTCTCGAACTAACGTCGCGTCTCACTGCTAGCTGTAAACACTGCGAGATTTACACGTTGGTAACAATATCTTTAAATCTTTTGTTAACCACACTACCAGCCCCGCAAAGTGCGGGGCATCAAAAAATTAGTTAATACTCATTGTGTTCCTCCCCACGGAAATCTTTAGTAAAAGGCGAAAGATTTATACGATATGAGGTGAAACATGAGTGTACTGGAGAACAAACGCTCCGGGTTCAGTGTGAGAGGAGACGAGACACAAACATCAATGACGGTAAGCGACCTTTAGAAATAATACCAACCAAATCAATACAATATAATAAACAAATAAACCTACCATAATTGGTATTTAAGATGCATCAGCATATAAACCACTAAATATGATACTAACGATTTAAAGTTGAGAGTGCAATGCATTCTGGGAGCTCAAACTGTGGAGAGGCTGTATGCTTGCTTTAGACACGTGACTGTCTTTAAATGCCCCTCCACACTGCCCGCCCCCTCCCCCCCGTGCTGGCCAATTGTTCGCTTGAAAATATAACCATAGCAATAGTGGACAGCTCGAGTTCTTTCTGAGAGACCTTTGACAAAATGTAAATACTAACATATAAATGTACCACAAAACCATAGTTTGTTAGGTTTTTTGTTGGAATATATAGACCTTAGTCAAGATAGCACAATATATAATTTCTGACAGGAATGAACACAAGGCTGGAAATGCACAGTCAGAGGGGTTCAGTGGATTGCTTAAAAACATACGGATTGCTCGGCTGACAAAACATCTTTCCGATAGGTTTTCAGTAGGCAAAACGGTTTTTAAAAGTTGTGAAAATTGCATGTGATCTAAGCCCTTTATATAGCACATTGTAAAGACTCACAGCCTTGTTTTTTACCCACGTAAAATTTAATATGGCGTCTACCCTAAGGTCCATGGTTCCATGAAGAGCCTTTTAACATCCTTGGTAACCACTGTATACTGCACAAAATATTCTTTAGTGGAAAAGGTTCTTCATATTATTACAATTTTCTTTACACTAAGAAAACAAGTTTTTTTTTTTTTTTTAAGAACTGTTTATAGAAAGGTTCTCTTTGTAATAGCTATCTGTGCTAAGAGACAAATGGCTTTGGACGAGATAAACACGTATCCGTGTTTGGGGAATCTACACTTTATATATTTTTTATTAGGTGCCCTAAATGTATGTAATAGTATAACTATATTAAAAGTAAGCTACAAGAATGCCATATTTGCTCAGAAGCTTATTTGTCAGTGGCTAACAACTGCCCAGAACCTGACACACAGTGTGCATCAAGGCTGTCCTTCAGGCCTCTAGTAAAAATCTAACTAAAAATGTTTACTTTCTGTGACAAAGAATCCAACAACTTTGATGGCTTGCTTGTACTTGTTACTGAAATCATTCAAAACTAGTTAAAGAGGAAAGTATTATTTCTTCCACTTGCTGCAATTTATCAGAACAAGTCATTATTTAGTAAGTTTTTTTGTTTTTTTTAAGAACTGTTTATAGAAAGGTTCTCTTTGTAAGAGCTATCTGTGCTAAGAGACAAATGGCTTTGGACGAGATAAACACGTATCCATGTTTGGGGAATCTACACTTTATATATTTTTTATTAGGTGCCCTAAATGTATGTAATAGTATAACTATATTAAAAGTAAGCTACAAGAATGCCATATTTGCTCAGAAGCTTATTTGCCAGTGGCTAACAACTGCCCAGAACCTGACACACAGTGTGCATCAAGGCTGTCCTTCAGGCCTCTAGTAAAAATCTAACTAAAACTGTTTACTTTCTGTGACAAAGAATCCAACAACTTTGATGGCTTGCTTGTACTTGTTACTGAAATCATTCAAAACTAGTTAAAGAGGAAAGTATTATTTCTTCCACTTGCTGCAATTTATCAGAACAAGTCATTATTTAGTAGTTTTTTTTTGTCTGACATCCTAAATGTTCTGTACACATTGGTGTCTGATCCACCTTCACCATGTTATTAATTTCATTATAACAAATGAAAATAAGATCCATTCACTTTATGCTTTAGAATATGATATTTCGTTCCATTGCACTGCATGAGGACAATTCTTATACATTGATGTATAGTGGACCTTTAAAAAGATGCCAGTGACCTTTCACAATGCACATCTATTCATATCTGAATATCATTTTTGATATTTAGGCTATATTATCTTGAAGAATACCCTGAATGAAAAACTGTGGATCTAAAGGTAAATTGAAGACCGAAAGGGAATTGGCATTACTGACTTCCTTCGAAAACAATAAAATTTAATCACATGATCACATACAATGAATTAATGCATCTTCTGAAGTGTTAGGTTACAACTACAAGCTTATGGAATATTGCTGTGTACCTTTTGTCCAACTGGTGTTAAGTATATCCTTGTAAACCTGTTTCAGCATGCAGAATTTTGCAACTGTGATGACAGCAGATATTGTTGTGTGAATATTATTAGACCAGGCCATAAACCTCTATTCCCTGGTTATATGACAGTTGTGGTTCTTATATTGAGGTTAATGCAAAAGCTGACAGTGCTGGACTGGTCAGTGTTGCTTGTCTTGGTAGATTAGCATTATGGGATAGCAGTGTTTGGCTATATGTGAGGTTAGGACACTCAACAGCATTATTACATACTAACCTTTGATCAAGTCATTTACTTAAATAACTACCCTCATAACCCTGATTCACACAGAATTTTGCTCTACATTAGCTTATTTCCTCTCCGAGAAGAGCACAGGCAGCATCTGTAAAGGTTACAAGAAAATAAGATGATCAGCCACCTACATCACACACATACACATGCTTACTTTCTTTTTTTATGGTGAGATGCTAATAGCTGCTACTCTGCTGCAGAATGTTGTTTGAGTAAGAGAGAGAAAGAGTGATTGTGGGTGTTTCTTTTTCACCCATAGAACCTGACTGAAGACGTCGGCCCAGAGACTCACGGTACAGGTAGTGACCTTAAATCTGACCTTGCATGCTCCTCCATCCCTGCATAACCTTATCAACTAATATCAAACAAAATTTTTTTTAAATGGTACTTCATTCTGTAAACTTGCATCATATGTATCTTTTTTCGGTAAGGTTTTAATGCTTTTATTCAGC